TTCCCTTCACTGTATGGTCAACGCCCTTCCCCAATCTGACAGCCTTCCATTGTGTAGATGAACTGTGCTGTCCAGCCAACCATGGGACGGTTAGGTTGTTTCCAGTTACTGCTAATTATTAACAGAGCCGCTACAAACACAACTTTTCCTTTTGTACACTAAATTTTCATTGCGTAGGGAAATACCCAAAAGGAATGCTGAGTGAGGTCCTCTATAGTAAGTCTATATGACACTGCCAACAGGTTCTCCAAAGTGACTGCTGACCTAGGATTCCCGCCAATGACAGAGGGCTCAACCTCTGCACCTCAGCAGCACTTGACGTTGGTGGTGGCATTTTTATTTTAGCCACTTAGTAGTTGCAGCTTTACTTTGCATCTCCATGAGGTTTACTATGTTACACATCTTTGAGGGCTAGCTGTCATCTGCATATTTTGAAGTATCTGCTCAAACCTCTTCCTCATTCTTGTTGAGCAACTACTGAATTCAAACGTTCTTCATATGTTCTTGGTACCCATCCACTGCCACATATGTGCTTCACAGATATTTCTCCTGTCACTTGTCTCCTTGTCCTCTTTTTCTGTTTGTTTTTTTATTTTGTTTCATTTTTAATGTGTATAGATGTTTGTGTACCTGGCGGTCAGAAGAGGGCTCCAGATCCCTGGAACTGGAGTTACATACTAGGGATAGAACCTGAGTCCTCTGCAATTGTGACAAGCACTCTTAACTGATAAGCCAACTCTCCAGCCCCCTTTCCATGAGCCTAAAGATCAGATGAAATTACTGAAATGGAACTGCCTCATAAACAGGGGAAGGGAAAAACATCCTTTTTTTTTTCTGTGCTGGGATCAAACCCAAAGAGGGGATCAATCATCAGATGTACATCCAGGCATTATTTACTTTGCTTGAGTTTTGGGAGAGGTTCTCACTATGCAGTCCAGAGTGGCATCAAATTGAGCTCCTCCTACCATCAGCCTCTCGAGTGCTGACATCACAAGCGTGCAACCACCATGCTTGGCTTGAAACTGCTTATGAAAACACGTGGCACAACGGTATACATGTGACTCTAAAAGACTCTGTGGAATGACCAGCTGTGTCCCTCAAGCAGAGGACTGGGAATGTAAAACTGCTAAAACAGCCACCCTCTGGTTCACCTATGAGCACCTATTACTGAGACCCAGGACTCTGAAGTCACTGGTGTTGGTAATGGAGAGAGGGAACCCTAGACCGCACTGGGAGCTTCTCTACTGCATCTTCCCTCAATTTCATGGACATCCAGACAGCAGGATCTCACTTTCCTTCTTACACACTAAGCTCTCTCTTCATACTCATTTCTGTTTGACTCCTGAAAAACCATAGCTAAGTTAAGGGCATTCACCAAACAAATACAATGAACATTTTTAAAATCTAGAGATATTTGATTCCTTCCAAAATGAGGGCTTTATTCCTCACCCATGTTATAAAATTACCCAACACATATATGTAATTTGTCTTTTTAAAACACACAGTCAGGTGCTGGAGATATAGTTCAAAGGTAATAGAAGAGCCTGGGTTTGATCTCCATCACTACAGAAACAAAACACAAAAGATAATGGACTGTTTGCATTCATGTTGCTTTCTCTAATAGCACAGACTCAGGTACCACCCTGCTGCACTTAGATTGACTGTTGCCCATACCTCCTTCATTTAGGATGTTCATAAAGAAGGCACTCTATCAGTTACTATGCATCACAAGAACTCTCTGGCTACAAACGTGCTGCCCACAAATGCTCCTCACTGGACTGTGATTATTCATCATCAACATATCTGTTGAGCTATGTCAACCTCATCTTGGGGAAACTGAGTCAGCCTGGCATATCACAAGAACAGTGATTTTCTTTACAGACAGTCCTTGACTCAAATGATGAGCCTTCCACTATTAACTCCAAGACTCTGAACATGTTTGTAAGCCCGGTTTTATTCATTTCCTAACCTTCATATTTCGGGAAGTTCAGAGTGGTAGCTCAGGCCCAAAACCTCAGCGCTTAGAAGGCTGGGACAGGAGTGCCACAAGTTCAAGCCATCCTGGACTGTAGAGTAAGACTGTATCTCCAGAAAAGAGAAAATAAATCATAATGAGGATATCAGCTTTACATCCTCAGAGATAAATGGCAAATTACATACCGAGTTTGCAACATCAGAGATGTTCTGGAATGTTAGTTTCTTTCTTTCCAACAAGAACTCTCTAGCTTGTCCTTTTCAGCACTTTCTAGACTACATAAAAGGACTGACTCCCTTCCATAAATCTGGACCTTTTGAAGTATGTCCTAAACTCTACCAACTCTCCATCCACTCCAGATCTAACCTGCCTTGAGGTATTCTCTCTTCTTCAGCTTCCATGATAACTTGGCTTTCTTGTTCTTCACCTGAAGAAAGGAGCTGGAGATACACGGGTCACCATAGCAAAGGCAACCCTCCCCAGAACTCTGGCGTGGAGCACCAACTACAGAAGCCTGCGTGTGCATGCCAGCTGGCTGTATGCTCACCTCCATACAAGTCACAGGCCCCTTCACCAACGGTTTACATGTTTAAAAAGACTCCATCCAAGACTGATCTCGTGGCAAAAGTCAGTGGTTAATTTAAAGAATTCTCATGCAGACAAAAAAAAAAAAAAAAAAACTAGGTGATAGTGAGTATTCAGTGTTAAATAACAAAAGGCTGTCCTGCTTATGAGTCAAAATAAGAAACTACAGAGGAAATCATTAGAATCAGCCCCCCATGTCCATGAGTTCCGTGTCTTAAGATTCACCCAAGCTTGGACCAGCCAACACTATATGAAGAAAAGACGCCTGGCAGATGAAGTGGCTCCTATGTGTACTCTCAGACCTTCAGGACACTGACACAGAAGGATCACTTTTGAGCCTAGGAGTTTAAGGTCAGCTCAAACATTATAGCAAGACCCCCATCTCAAATATTAAAAAAAAAAATAGTTTGCAGAAAGTTCAAAAAGCAAAATTTGAGTTTGTAGGTGTAAATGCTAGATTGAGCCCATGTGAGTGAGCAGTTACTGCTGGAGCCGCCACCTCACACGCCCTTGGGTTCTCCTGGGCACTCCCAGCGGAGCTTCATTTGCCTCCCCTAGTTCACCTCACTTCCTGTTCACCATCTGTGCTTGTATCTGTGCTTTGGTCAGCATCTCATAGCAATGAGATAACTACGCATTTATATTGGGTAGTGTAAGGAATCGAGAGAGGATTTAAAGCGTAGAGCTGTGTTTAGGTTATATAGAAATGCTATATTTTATATAAGGAACTTTAGCACAGGCAGATTTTTGGATAAATGGGGAGTTCCTGGAACCAACACTTAGTGGACCCTGAAGGAGCACCACACTTAATGAAGAAACATCTTCTGTCATGTGAATTCTTTTATCAACAGGGATGCGTGATCAAGTTCAATACTGAAAGGAAATATTCTAGTAATCAGTGTTCAGCGGTCAACTCCAGGAATACATGCCTGTTATTCTCCTGAGAATTCGAGAGCCTCAGGAAACTCAATGGGAGATGCCCTATTTAAGATCACAACAGGAAAGACTGTACATTACTCATCCAGAGAAGTCTCTCAGAGGGGTTCTAGCCAAGTCTTGTTGGGTACAATCAAGGAATTTCCCGAAAGGACAATCACTTAAGAATCCCCAGTGCAGTTTGGAATGTGCAGCCTGAACGGGACTTCCCACCATCTGATACCAATAAGTACTCAGGCCTCAGAATAAACTCAGGCCATTCAAGACACTAATCAGAACTTAGATCAGCAAATAACTGCCAAATGGAGAAACAACTAACAGCTCAGATGACAATCCTGACATAGGGGCACTGGAGACCTTGGAGGACACGCCCTCAGGCGATCGGGCAGGAAATGCACACCAGCATCTCTTTAGTCCTCCACGCTACAACCACCCTACATGCCATGACCCCCCTACATGCTATGACTACCCTACATGCTATGACCGCCCTACATGCCATGACCACCCTACATGCCATGATCACCCTACATGCTACGACCACCCTACATGCCATGACCACCCTACATGCTACGACCACCCTACATGTCATGACCACCCTACATGCTATGACTACCCTCACCCTGTTCTGCTTTGCACAAAAGTTATTCCAGGAGGGAAACAAAGAAATAGATCAGGTAGAAGAAGCCACATGCTTGAAGCCATGCGTCCCAGGCTGACAGGCTCATTAGACATGTTCTGATCAAGATAATAAAGGAGAGCACGAGCTACAATCTCCCTGTTCAGCTCTTCACACCTGGTTAAGTCCTCGCTAGTTCTTGGCACTGACAGGCTTCTACAGAGGATAAACAGCTCCTCTCTGCACCTGCGTGACTCCATTCCTCTTTAGTTGTCTTCCATCACCTGAATTTTAGGTAGGTCTCCCAGGCCTCCGTCAATAAAATAGCCTACTGTTCAGAGAGAAAGCACCATAGATCTCCATTTCCCCTCAGAATACCTGGTACTAACTGTCCACATGATAAAGTATTGTCAGCCAATCACATGGAGAAAGCAGGCGTGCAGCACCTGGCTAGTTAGAGACGAGAAGGAATTCTAACACAGTCCCACACATGTACCCTGAGCTGTTTCAAGACTGGACATTCTGCCCCTGAGTATTCCAATCCTTGGTCCTCAGCAAAGCTATCCCCAGAGGGACCGTTTCACCCCGCCAGGCACTCTGGAATTGCTAAGTCATTACTAAGTCCAGGCAAGCAGGAGGCGTGGAAATTTTTCCCTGCTGGAAATGCATCCCAACAAAAGCCTGTTCCGTGCTGCTCTGATGGAGCAGGACAAACCGCAGTTAGTTTTATTTTAACAGCCCGTTCAGTCAGGCACTTAGCACATCACAAACAGAACCACCGCTCCAGTGGACACAGGAAATTCCTTCACTTCAGGAAGTTTCCAGATGCGGAGCAGAAGCACTCAGTCTCCCTATGGTCCTTCTGCAGACATTACAAACTGCCAATACCTGTAGAGCTGACGGTTGTCTTCAAAATCCTCCTGGCCCCATTTTCCCTTGATGTCTTCGATCACGTGATTCTTTAGGAATTTCTTCAGCAGCTGAACTGTCTGTTTGCGAGTTACCTCAGGCCCAAAGTTCTGACTGTTCCTCAGAAGCTCGTGCAGCCAGTCCACAGCTTCGGCAGCTGAGAAGCAATGCTCGTAGCTCTTGAAACGACAGCGATGTTTCCGTAAAGGCATCCTGGCACGAAAAAGCTCCACCGTCTCGTTCCACTAGGCAAAAGACACAAAAGTGTTCTTTCAGGGTTACTAAGTCCCAAATATTTAAATCAAGGAATACCAGTTTTCCATTTAACAAGCTGCAGGAAGACTGGGGACGGCTTAGCATACACAAGACCCTAGGATACAGGATAAATATAGATTGATCCACAAACCGGGAGCCTGCTAGGTAGGTAAACAGGTAAACTGATAAAATCTAATTATTTAAATAAAAAGGAAAAACACTGGAATAACAGATAGAGATTTAGTATTTTTTTTGCAACCTTCAATTCTTAAAGTCCTAAAGAATGACTGGTGGGAGGTAATGATTAAACTGGTGTGGATGTAGTCATGCCACACGCCGATACACTTAGAAATAGTTAAAAGTAGTCTAAGTTGCTGGGTGGTGGCGGCGGCACACGCCTTTAATCCCAGCAATCGGGAGGCAGGTGGATCTCTATGAGTATGAGGACAGCCTGGTCTATAAGAGCTAGTTCCAGGACAGGCTCCAAAGCTACAGAGACAGAGAAACCCTGTCTCAAAAAAAAAAAAAAAAAAAAAAAAAAAGTCTAAGTTATGGTTATTTTGTTACAATTGAAGCAAAAATAGAACCTATTTACAGAAAAGAAACAAGCACAATGCAACAACAACAAAAAAGAAGCTACTGAAGATGCTGCCAGCAAGCCAAGCTAGCAGTGAAGATCTAAATTTCCATGAATGGAAACCATGGTAGGAGTACTGGCTAAATGAAGCTCATCACTGGGCTTGGTGCTGCACACTTGTATATAATCCCAGAACTCAGGAAGCTGAGGCAGAAGGGCTTGGAGTTCAAAGCCAGCCTAGAATTCATATAAAGTCACAGGCCCAGCTTAGATCATATAGTGAAACACTGCCAAACCTTACCCCCAAATCTATCCCATTATATACAATTCATTTCTAGAAGTCCCATGTTTACTATGACTTCACTCGGCAAACAGACTGTTCACAGTGTGAGAGGCGTCGTGTGGGGAAAGAAGAAAGGCATGAATAGTAATAACGACACACCTCCCGACGTCACAGGGCTCAGGACAGCAGAGAAAAGCCTTTACAAGGTAGTATCAAGAGTCTGCTTAGTCGCCAAGGAAAGCTGTTTGAAAAGACTCACTAGTCAGTCTCTCGAAGCATACACACAAACTGTAAAGCCCCTTCTTTTCTTTTGCTGCAGCCAAGTTTTCCTACTTCCTTCGCTTGCCTGAGAGGGAGGTTGGCTTGGGGCTCTTCTGAAGAACACGGTTCATTTCAGCATGGTGTCCTCAGAAGCCATAGGGACACAGAAGACTAATAGACAGAGCTCAGGCTCTGAAGCCCTGTCTGACTTCACAGCCAGCTCTGCTAATGACCAGCAGGCCAGCCTTATATTGGAGTTAGCTGAGCCTGCGTATCTCTAGCTACATAGCAACAAAAACCAGAGACATAAAAAAATAAAATAAAGATAAAAAGTGTATTGCAGTGTCTGCCCTGATATAGATACTTTACAAATCTTACTACTATCACCTTTATTGTCAAGGTATAGCCATTAAAGCTGAGCAAGTATGCAGAAAAGCCCCCACATTGAGTCTCCAGGATTCAGTCCAATCTCTACCAATAAGCAGAATACACTGGGCATGGTTAACACATTTCCGTAGAATATAGCAATTATAGCAAACTAAAACTCAAAAAGTTGAGATTCTAATATATGAAAATCATGGAAACCAGCTGGAGCGCTGGCATGTACCCATATTCTTCTGACTTGCCTTAAGGCAAGATGAATGTGAGTTCACAGCCAGCCTGAGCTACAAAACAAGCCCCACCCACCCATTCCACTAAGAGAGCAATCAAAAGAAGGTCAAGGAGGTTAGGTGTTACCCAGGGTCAGTCTGCTAAGAAACAGGGCTGGTTCAATCTACTCTAGTCAGATCAGAGAGAAACGTGGCCCCTGCATACACACTCGGTGTATGAACCTTTAAGCAAATAAACCTGTGTCACATGAGCGCATACTGGCTAGCACTAACACACTGCTGTTAGTCTAGCCTTGGCTAAGAGATGTCTTCAACAGGACAGAATCAATCTCTGAAGAAAGGAAAAAATATGAGGTGCTGGGTGAGACTGGGGTTCTAATCCCAGACTTTCTATTCACCGTTTACGTAAAGTTTGGTACATGTTAAGTACCACAAAAAATATCCAGTTTCCTTCTGCTCCCAAATGCCACTGATAGAATCACATGAGCCACTATGTCACTTTAAGACAAAATCCAGATCTCTCTAGATGTCATTTTTTAACAACTTCAAGACAACTCAGCCTCTTCAAGACTCCTTGTCTTTCAGTGACAGGAAACCAGGACATGAATAGGTCTAGAATAGGGAAGCTTTATGAACATGGCAATGACCTAGTCAGCATCCCAGCAGTCAACTGACACAGGTAGCCAGGAGTGGCTACTGCAAGCATCAGAGAGTGGTCACTGTATAAAACAGTCAGTTTTCCACAGCCTATGCCAGAGACACCAAGAACACCACAGCGATGTTCCTGGCATGCCTCGGAATTAATCCCACCACTCATGAAGCTCTTGTCCACTCTGCTTCCAGAATGTGGATGTGTGAATAAATAGCTACCATTTCTGTTCCTCACACAGCAGGACTCCGCCAACCTTTCTCTCCACTGTGCCTTTGTATCCTGCAGTCCTCACAGTCACTGATTCTGCTCTATTGGAGGCATGAACCTGGGGTAGAGGAGCTTAAGAAGGAGGTGGGCTAAAGCCTCCTGCAATAGCCGTCTTTATTGAGAGCACCAGACGATTTATATTCTGAAGGTATTATATTGTGAGGTTTAGAAAGTCATATGAGCAGAGTTCACTTGAGTTCTAGCTGTATACAGTCACAAGGGCACAGTCACATGAGTCAGGCTGTATACTACTGAGGATAGCTCCTGCTTAGAAACATCATTCTAGATAATCATGGGTAAGACGAAGGGTGACCTAAAGTAGACCTACTCCTATTACACCTGGGAGAAGCAGAAAAAAAGTACATTCCAAGAACAACCCGTGTCCAGGAAAAACAGAGATTACAAGACGCTTGCCTTGTTCCTTGGAGTTATCGCACAAGTTCTCAAAAATTCTCCTCACACAGCTTCATGGACCATGTTCCGACACTAACTACCTTCCAAAAGGTTAGGGATTGTTGCAAACCACACGGCACTAGCCTTCTGGAAACTATTTTTAAATAGTTAAGAAAACAAAAAAAGACAGCTGTTCCAATGAGAATGAGCCAACAGCTGACTAGCGCACGTGTCGTCGTGAAGTGGACCCATCATTTCACTTTTACTATAAAATTTTAGCTAATCTGTAAAGTTTTATTTTCAAGCCAGACATCAGGATTTAGAAAATGAGGAAGTTACAGTTATGAGAAAGTACAGCCAACCAGGAAGGAGAATATAGACCCTGCCATTTGTGTGCTAAGAGTCTCCAGGCTCTTCCTGAAGAAACAGGAAGTTGGGAGTGATATCAAGAGAAAAAGAGTTGGGCCAAGGATAAGGGAAGGAAAGGCCAGCCTTGAAGGACAAGAGAGGATGAGTTACAAAACATTTATTATGCAATAAAAGCTTTAAGACACAGCTGGACTATTATTTGGAAAATATCCACAGGTTCTACTTTTAATAATAACTAATTTCTGATAACAGCAACCCTCACGATTAAGGGGGGAAAAAACTGATGATCACTGTGTCTTTTAAAATCTTAATAATTAACATTAAGTTTCTCAAATACATAATAAGACTGCAAGGTGAATTGATTACCTGTAAAATACTGGTAAAACTGGGGGTCTTTATTAATTATCCATATACTTTTCTTTTTAATTAACTGATTAACCTAAACTAGGCCTGAATGTCATGGAGGTAAGAATTAAAAGCATCCAAAGAAAGTACTTTTCTGTACAGACTCCTGCAGTAACATGTTAATGCAACAGAGAATCCAGTAGCATCTATATATGAAACCTCTGCAACCAAGAGGAGAAGCGCCCCATAAACACAACTGCCTTAGACATCCCTCCAAGGATGTGAATGATCTCACTGTCCAGGGCATCACACTGCATGTGCCATTCACACATTAGTCATTTAGCTGTCTTTAGGTTATCAGACGGGGAGGTATCACGGTGCATGTGCTCAAGTCATCTTTATTTTAATGACCAATGGCTCCAAAGTATTACAGTGAACTTTATTAGAGTATGTTGATTGTTCCATTCTGATATTATTGCTGTTAATCCTTCATTGTATTAATTTATAAATTAAACTGTCATAGACATATGCAGGAAAAACACATACTATGTATACTATATATAGGGTCTATCGTAGTTTTAGGTGTTGATTGGGTATCTTAGTCAGTGTTCTATTGCTATGAAGAGACCCATGACCAAAGCAACTCTTATATAAAAAGCATTTGGTTGGAGCCTTGTTTTTAGTTTTAGAGGCTTAGTCTATTATCACTATGACAGGGAGCATGGCAGCTGGCAGGCAGGAGCTGGGAAACAGCTAAGAGCAACATCCTGATCCAGAGAGAGAGAGAGAGAGAGAGAGAGAGAGAGAGAGAGAGAGAGAGAGAGAGAGAGAGAGAGAAACTCTGGGCTTCACATGGGCTTTTGAAATCTCAAGGCCCACCCCCAGTGACACACTTGCTCCAACTAGGCCACGCCTCCTAATCCTTGTAATCTTTTCAGACAGTTCCATTCCTGGGGACTAAGCATCCAAATATATGAGCCTATGAGGACCATTCTCATGCAGCCACCACATGGGGTTCTTGGAACAAACCCTTCACAGGTAGGAGAGGACGGCCATAAGAGTTTGTAGAAGTCACTGAAAGGAACATCTTCTATCTGCCCTGGGGTTGGAGCTAGCAATAGTCCTGACCTCAGGCAGTTTAAATGCTGGAACCACTTCTGCAGAAACAGCTATGAAAACACCATTTTGAGGCTCTATTATTTTCCTTGCCATTACCATTCATACCTCTTAGAGACTAGCTCTAAAGAAAACCTAAATTTATTACTTTAGGATTATTAAAATAAATGGATCACTCTGAGTGTCCAGTAGATCATACAATGATTCCTTCCAACAACCCTCATCACAGACATCTTAGCAATGTGACATTTTCAGCCAAATGAAACAATGCCACAGTACCTAAAAATCTTAGGAAAAACCTCATATGAGGCAAGTGCTCTTTCCTGTGAAAGTTCATAAATAATAATAATTATTATTATTATTATTATTATTATTATTATTATTATTATTATTATCCAAGTGCCCCATAAGTCTAATAAAAAAGTAAAGAACAAGCAGCCCGAAATCTGGGTTCCATCCATCCGGAAAGTGGCTTGACTCCACGCAACACAGATTGCCTGGCTCTAGATAGGTAACTATGTCTCTAGAATATGAGTCTAATACAAGAGCTGGCGTTTAGCTCCTCATCCCCACCTTTCCCAGGATATTTCTTATAGAGAGTACTGAGACTTGACTGCAAGGTACATATACCTGAGAGTGGTTCAAGACTAAACTCAAGTCCTCACCTGTGCCTATTCCGTTAAACTAATCCTTAGAGGCGGAGTCAGTAAAATTACTTCCTCCAAGTAATAAGACAGATCGGCTAAGTCTTTGCATCTTGTTTTCAGGAGAAATTGCCTCACCCTGGCGCACCTGCAGAGCTTGCAGACCACCTATCAGAGCTGATCCCTAAGTGAGGTGGGTGCTGATAAAAAGTGAAACTCCAGGGGCAGGAACCTTTGGAGGAGGAACACACCTTCACGCTGTGCACCGTTACAAAGAACTCTCGTCAAGTGTCAACAGTGTCACTCAGGAAGGAGACACACCCTTGGCTGGTCACCGCAACCCGCAAGTGCAACACGGGCAGGGTGGTCCTACAGCTCCACCAAAGGTCAATCTTGTCCCAAACGCTGGAGTCGGTCCCGAGGACAAAGGGGAACGCGATCGCCAGGTGTTCGCTTCCCGCTAAAGCCGAAAGCGCCGTCTACTGCAGATAACATAACCATTGCCCGCAGATGAAGTTCATCCCGCCCTGGTGAGGCTGGCTCCAGGCCTCGTCTGCCCGCTGCGGGGCAGGGCGAGGAGCTGCAACCCAGCAGACGCTCGCCCACCAGCACCGGCAGACCCCAGTGGATGCGCACCGTCCGAGTCACGGCGGTGACGCCAGCACGGAGTCCGCCTGACCCGCACTCTCACTCACCAGCTTGGTGGCCCGGTACGGCCCGGGTCCCACGATGCGGTGCTCCATAGCCAACCCGCAGCAGTCGCCGGGCAACGCTGGCGGGGACTCCTGAGCTCGCCGCGCCGCAGTTTGAATCACAAGCCTGGAGGTTCCGGACGCTGATTGGACAGGGCGAAGGCACGTGACAGGAACTGCATGAGTGGGCGGGGCCGTGCGTGTCCTGGTTTTCTCTGCTCCGGGTTTGGCCCTCTAGTAGCTGGATGGGGAAGACGAAAGATGCTTCTTCTTTCTCGCCGGTGGGTGCTCGGACACTCGCGCGCGTGACTGATCGCGCAGGCTGTCGCCGGCCCGGCGTGGAAGGCGCTGCCAAACCCTTCCCCGACTTTGCCCGATGCGTGCCCGCTCGGCACACCAGCTCTGCAGCAGAGCCCAGTGAGTCAAGCCTACCTGGAACCTGGTAGATAATTCCTGTCAGCACCCATGGCAGAGAATATGCAGGTTAGCTAAGAGAGGAAGGAGTGGGTGGTGAAAGGAAGCGAATTGACAACTAAGTGGAGGAACTTTTAAAAGCCAGATAAAGGCAGTCCGCTATAAGGGGTCGTAGAGAGACTATCAGAGCAATAAAGAGGCCCTGGTGGGCTTCTATTCTGCCCTCTTAAAAAATCATCTTTTCCCTCTTTGAACTTCTGTTTTCTATTTAGCATCTGACTGAAATTGTCAGCCCTTTGTTTATGGGACTGATCACTACGTTTTCTCCGCACTGAATCGCCTTTCTACCTCCAGCCCTCTGGAACTGTTGGCCGGACTTGGAACTGTTCAAAGTGACAAATAACTTTACCGGTCTCTATACTCTGTGCCTTAAACTCAGAGACTCCTATTCAGAATCTGTCTGGACACCTCGGTGAAGACCAGGACAAGAGACTGCTGAGCAATCACCTTGATCTTGGAAGTTGCTTTTTGCAATAGACAGTGGTTAATTCAGATACTCAAAAGCGGTGGAAGTGACGAGATTAAGTAGCACTGAGCATGCCATACTTATGTGAACACCACCTCCTTTCAGGGAACCTGGTAGAAGAGGGTGCAGAAAGAATGTACGATCTGGGGGACAGCGAGGAGTTCTGCGAAACGCTGTCCTCTGGATACAATATGGCTCTCCCGCTCATGAGCGCACTGCAAGTTTGATTCCCTGTACAAGACCTGCACACGGTGGAGCCTGACAACATTCCGGCAGGCCAGGGAGGGCCAGCCACTAGTGGGGAGGTTATTGGAAGTTAATGGATGCTGAGAGATAATCATCTATTCCAGTAAATAACGCCACACCCATGCTCATGTAAGCAACCCTAATTAAACTCAGTGAGTCATTTAAAAAAAAAAGTTTACAAAGTAAAGCCTGGACGTGCTCAGTTAAGAATATGCGGGCCTGACGTGAGGCAGCTCAGCTAGTAAAGGCACTTGGCACTAAGGTCAATGCCCTGAGTGTGGTCCTGAGAGCCACAGCGGTGGAAGCAGAGAACTGACTCACCCAGGTTGTGCCCTGACTTCCACACAGGCTTTGGTGACCTCCTCCCAAGAGCTGAGGATACACACGTGTGCCATTAAGTCTGACTCATAATCCCTACGTTTGCAAAACGTATTTCAGAGCTTTTTCTAATCACTGATCATCACATTTGATTAGATATGCAAATAGGAGAAACTCCATTTTATCGATAAGGAAGGTGAGCTTCAGACCAGCCCAACAGCTTGCTTAGAGTTCATTGTCTAATCATTAATAGGAAGTAGACCTCCACCTGTGCTTTCTCTTACCAAAGCCTGTATAGAGTTTGATTTCATTTGATAATATGAATTAGGTGGTTTTAATACCTTCAAAACTCAAAATGGACAGTCAAAATGAAGTCTAACACGCTTATACAGAGACATTTTCAGTAACCCGTCATCAGTGTACCTAAGTATCTTTACCAGTTCTGAGTTTTATAAAAGAAAAACACACAGTTAACCAAAAACTGATCAAAATCAATGTCTTTAATTATCTTTCAGTCCCCCTATTATAATTTGGGTTGAACCAGGGTTCACTGAATATATAATACATATTTAATTACATTACTGCCTCCCTAAGTGTAGCCCTCACTTATGTCTCAGTTGGATCACTGCATTCACTTCTACATCCTTAGCATAACAATTTTAATAACTTGCTATGCATTCTCTGCTGTGGCACACTCAGGTGTGCCGCTGTGGAGATGCTATAGGAACTGACTCTAGGTGCAAACCTCTTCACGGGCTGAATGTCATTTAGCAGAGAACTGGCTTTCACTGACCTGCCGCTGGCATTGGGAAGTTGCAAACTGGGCAGCAGAAAGAAGTTTGCCTCAAGTACACTGTGTTGGAGGTTGTGTTTCGCAATCGCTGTGCCCTGGCACCCAGAGGATTTCTGGATGTCACGTTCGGTACAGCTCCTGCAGAAGTCACCACCCAAGTCACTCACTGACCAAGTCACTCGTTGCTTACATCAGGTGTTAGCTCCACAGAATGCCCCGTGGTGCCCATTCAGTGTTTGGTTTTAGCATTTTAGCCGTCAAAAACATCTCTGGTTGCAGGTGCTGGAGAGATGGCTTAGTAGTTAAGAGTGCTTTCTGATCTTCCAGAGGCCCAGAGTTCAGCTCCCAGTACCCTTACTGGGTAGCTGACAACTTACCTGTAGCTCCAGCTTCAAGGAATATGATTCCCCCCTTTGGGCACTGCAGGCACACGCACTAGATACACACACACAAACAGACACACATACACACACACTTTTCATTTAAAAATAAACTCTTAAAAATTGTTCATTTGCTGAGGTTCTTAAGAGTTAAAAGCCTGGCTTGCTTTGCACTACTATTGGTCTGTAGCACCACTACCCCATCAGAAAATGTTTCTGCAGAGTTTGCACTAATGTGATTCACAAATAGGATTCGCAGGTGAGGAAGGAAGGGTAAAGATGTATGAAAAATAGTTTTTAAAAACTATGTAGTTTGATTGTAATTGTTTAAGCTATTAGGTAGAATTATCTCAGAATTTAAAAAGATGAGCGTTCACACACAAAAATAAAGAAATAAAGAATCTGTTTGGTCACTCAGTGACTCAGTAAGTATGCAGGTGCACAGTACTGCTCCAGTTACTAGAATCCAGCAGTAGGCCATGCAGAGTCCCTCTTACCAACAGGTGGCATCCTAAGTAAGAAGGGATGGAGAACTAAATAAAATATGGAGAGAGAGACAGACAGATGAGATCGACTTTTGGTGATTGAGTGCAGGCAAGAAAAACAAAGGGGTGGAGGAGAAGATGGTGCAGAGAGATGCTCTTTTTAGTTTGGTGATCAGAAAAGACACGACTAAGCAAGGGGCATATGAGTAGTCAATGTGACCGAAGTCAGGGAACAACCTGTGTGGGGAACAACCTTCAAAGCCAGGAAAATGAGCAGACTTCCGGGTGCACCAGCACCCCGACACTGGAGGTGTGCAAAAAAAAGGGTGGGAAAGTGATCAGATACAGGGGGCAGAAAGGCCTTGGGGGCCACATTATAGTCCATGGAATTAAAATATTGTTTTAAATTAATTAAAAGTATATTAATTTTTTTTTCCGAGCAGGCAAGGGTCAAGCTCTGGGGTGTTTTTAAGTGCCACTCTGGCTACTGCGCCAACAGTGATTGACTAGGGAGGCACCAAGCACAAGGATGGAAACAGGTGAACCAGTTAGGAAGCTGTGGCAACAGCCCAACAGATAAACAAATAATCAGCCTGGCATTGGCACAAGTTGGCATCCAACAAGTAGTTGCTGAAGGAATAAACAAATAAGCAAATGAAACTAAACTTGAAGACGGTTTTAATTTTTCAGATTGTCAAAATGGCTCAGTAAGTTTAAGTAGTTGTGCTAAATCTAGAGACCTGGTTTGATCCCCCAGGGACCCACACCTACGTGGTAGAAGAGGAGAGCAGACTCCTGAAAGTTGTCCTCTGTAAACAACAAAACAACAACAATACACACGCAATCAATCAATTGATTAATCTAATTTTAAACTGTAGAATTATTCAGTTCTGCTCTATGTCTGGGGTTCATGCCTGTGATCTCAGCACTGAGGAGGCAGAGCCAGGAGGATCAAGAATTCAAAGCCAGCTTGGAATACACAATGATACTGTCACAATATTTTTTATTCGTTTCTTGGGGCTGGAGAGACAGGTCAGCAGCTAAAAGCACTTGCTGCTCTTCCAGAGGACCCAGGTTCAATTCCCAGCACCCACACAAAGGCTTACCTCCATCAGTAAGTAGCTCCTGTCCCGGGTTCCCAGCATGTTCTTCTGGCCTCTGCAGGTCCAGAGCATGAACACAGGGCACTTGCATAAATGTACACAGTGCATAACACATAAAATTAAAACCATAAATACTTTAAAAATTGTTAATTTCTCAAAGAACATTTTAATTGACTCTTTTGTTATTTCTTATATAAATCTATTCTACAAAATTATGACCGATCATAGTCACATAATCTATCAAATTTGTTCCTGAATATTCTCCTCCGCTACTTTTAATCATTACAGTTGTCTGTATTTACTTTTCCTTTTGAGTTTGGAAAGTGTAAGCCACACACGTCTGGTGCCTTAGTTTATAATTTGCCCCTTCACCTGCAGCCTCCTCATGCTTCATGCAGTACAGTTCAAAAGGTGTCCTAATTGAACATTTGCCAAAGAACACTGCTAAATGGGTTTATATATTTGGGTACAAGCTTAATTTCTGGCATATATTGGCCATGCCAAATAGCATTTACAATGAAGTGTATTTCTCAATAGCTGGAAACATAATTTGATGGAAAAGCAATTTGTAGCCAACATTTGCCTGAGGAATATTGGATGGATTAGTGGAAGATTCTGGAGATAAGCGATGAACGTAGAAAATCATTGGAGGATTATAGACATGAAATCGCAACAATGACGGGGTGGCACGTGGAAATAGTGTGTGTTCTTGATACTGGTGCATAGCAGAGTTCAGAGGACACCTCTGGAGAAGTTCCGGGTTCATACACCCTGGAATGAGTTGGACAGAGACACATGGATAGTCGCAAGAGAATCTAAGAAAGGAAACACTTCTGAGGGAGAAGCGGGCTGGAGAGAAAATACAGT